TGAGTGAGTGAGTGAGTGAGTGAGTGAGTGAGTGAGTGAGTGAGTGAGTGAGTGAGTGAGTGAGTGAGTGAGTGAGTGAGTGAGTGAGTGAGTGAGAGAGAAGTTCTTATGAGAGTGTTAAGTTCTGTTTTTGCAACCTATTTTTTGACACAATTGATCATTTCCTCGTTTGTTGGACTTACTGTTTATTCTCCACCTGTACAAATAAAAAACAAATACTGCCCATCTCTTGTGTTTGGCTTGGTAGATCTCGGCATGCCATCAACTTCAAAAGTAGATCTTGCTTTAAAAAAAGGTTTGGCACCCCTGATGATGACAGAGTATCAGTTGGCCCTAAAGCAATTCTGGCAAACTGCCTGGAATGTCTGTAGGCAGAGACAATGCTTCCCTAACAGGTTTTTCAGTACGAGCAGGAAGCTACTGAGATCCCCCAGGCTGGAGTTACACAGGCGGCTCTGTTGTGATGGAGAGCCGAGCCAACAGGCCTTTGGTCGTGACATCTGGACCATGACTGATGGAACAGCATCTCAGATACACGTCTCAGCAGGATGGCAGGGCTTCTCCCAATTCTGATGATTCAGCTTGGATCAGACATTTGTGGCGTTTCCCCCAAAACCCATGTGGAGGTTTCCTCACTGAATATATTATTTTGTGAGGAAAAATGCACTTTTTCCATATTTGATTTGATGAAAATAATATAAACACTCCAACCATTGAGCTCTACAGCTATTTTTAAAAGGCCGTTACTAAAAATTGTGTACTTATTTTTATCGTCTGTAAACTAAACAGTTGGCTACGGTTCACAAACTAAGCACATAATAAGTCAAGGTCTGGGTTTATTTTAATATGCTGATCTAATCCTTGATCATACTAAAACAGATTAATTAATTTAAATGTTAACTATTGAACAGGATAGCAATCTAATTGTTTTAATACTTCCTACTTTGCAATAATTTCATTAAAATCCACATGTCTGATTACAGAAATGCCAGCTGGCCTTACCTTTACAGCAGGATGAGGATCGGGAAGGCCACTGCTCAGGAGGCTGTGGGCTCGGTGGATGCTCCTCTGTCTGATGGACTCTGCCGGTGACACGGGTTTTATCCTGGCTGATGAGGAGGAAGGGTTCACAGCGAATCAGCTGAGGGGAAGGTGTCAAACTAACGACACACCTACAGGCCTAAATATGATCATATCCGGAATTAGTGACGTATATCGTACCATTGGCTGCTGTGCTACCTGCAGTAACAAGGAACTGTAATAAACACTACAGGAATGTGGAAGGAGCACATTATTGAAGAATGTCTTACTGTGAAAAGGTGTGGAACATTCTAAATGCACCTTACACAACAGCGAAACATTTCCTCGTATTTTCCTTTGCATGTGTGACACATTATAGCTGAGCTTGAAGATGAAGCCACATGTCTTTCAGCTTTGATTCTGTAATTCTACATCACAGATCCTAAACATAATGTAGTGAAACATCATTCAGTCGTTCTATTCATGATCTATAGGTCAGCAGACTCTGCCTGACGTGAATACAGTAATAGTTCTCACTACATTTAGACATTTTCAACTTGCAGCAATTGGGTATCAGATGTGTATTTATTTTGATGCAGCTTACTAAAAGCTTGATATATTCTAAGTTTCAGCATCTCAGCTTCCTCACTCCTGCATGGGACAGCTCAAGGATGACTGTGAAACACACAACCTGTCAATAAGGTCAATATATCCCCACCCCATTGCAGAGTGCAGCTTACTGGGTGGTTGAACAGGTGCCATGCGTGGTTCCTCCTGTTTCCCTAGAAACTGCTGGGGAATCTAAACCAGATAACAAGCCATGCATTTATCATGTAACAGCAGATCAGTGGAATTTCTAAAAACAGTGCAATGGCTGCCATCCCTTTGCACGTATGCAGGTCTTTATTGAAATACCTATGGACGTGTGGGCTGCTTTGCACCATAATCCCCTAATCTGCAACCGTTTTTTGTTTGTTTGTTGTTTTACATGTAGAATAGTGGCTTTTATCCTTGAGATGCAGGGAAGAGCCTTTTGCTCATCACAAAAGCTGCAGCC